TTCAAGACCCGGGTGCCGCATGATGGAGTGAGCTCCCATCTCTAGTTCCAGCTCCTGCCAACCTAGCAGTTCGAAAGCAAGAAATTGCAAGTAGATAAATAGGTACTGCTTCGGTGGGAAGGGAACAGCGTTCCGTGCACCTTGGTGTTTAGTCATGCCGGCCACATGACCACGGAAACATCTTCGGACAGCGCTGGCTCTTCGGCTTGGAAACGGAGATGAGCACCGCAACCCTAGAGTCGGATTCGACTGGCTTTTGAGCAAGGGAACCTTTACCTTTACCGGAGCCCCATCCTTCGTGAGCCAAGGCAAAAATGTGTGAGCTGGAGGCCAAAAAACTGCGAGCTAGCTCACCCTAACTCAGCTTAGAGGGAACACTGGCTCTGGACTCCTCTTTGTACTTCCCCTGTCTCGGTGACCTTGTACCACCCCTGGAGCTGAGCGGGTTCTCCTGCCATTCAGAGGCCTTCTTCAAGGCCAGGTGTGTCCAGATCACACGCTTCTTTTGGGGGGGGGGGGCTTTCTTCCAAATTTGGGATCCAAGCACAGAGTCCGTTCGGGGAGACCAGACATTAGCAACGTCCCCACGAGGAGGAAGTCCCTCTCTTGCTGCTGCAGCTGCAGTTCCTCTTTTGAGCCGTCCAGCAATGCTCCCTCTAAGCTGCGGAGTCTTGTGAGCAGAAATCCTACTTTGTGAGCTCCTGGCATTAAAGTTGTGAGCGAGCGACTGATCCATTTGCTCTTCTGGAGCCCTCCTTCCTGAGCCGAGACAAAAACCTGTGAGCCGGGGGCTAAAAAACGGAGTGAGCTCACCCTAACTCAGTTTAGAGGGAACACTGGCCATGACCAGTGTTCCCTCTAAGCTGAGTTACTGTGAGCCTCCAGCTCACACATTTTTGTCTTAGCTCAAGAAAGATGGCTCCAGAGCAAACTCATTTTATGCAGCAGCCAAACTACCTGCTCGCAACTTTAATGCCAATAGCTCACAAAGTAGAATTTCTGCTCACAGGACTCCACAGCTTAGAGGGAACACTGGCCATGACCCCTCTTGGGAGCGGTATTTTTTTACCAGGCAACAGGGATCAAGCCTAGGCAGGTCTACTCAGAAATAAGTCTGGTTTTACTCAATGGGGCCTGCTACCAAGGTGTCATCAGGGCGTGGACTGGCAGCACGGGGGGCTTCCATGCCCATGGAGGTCAAAAAACGAAATGTGTCTTTTGTCCCACAAGTTATGCCGCCAACCAGTGTTCCCTCTAAGCTGAGTCGGTGTGAGCCAGCTCACAGTTTTTCAGCCTCCGGCTCACACATTTTTGCCTTAGCTCTGGAAGGAGGGTTCTAGAGCAGACTAATTGATGCAGTAGCCCAATCGCTCGCTCTCAGCTTTAATACCCAGGAGAGGAGAATTTTTCCTCACAAGACTCCACCTCTTAGAGGGAGCGTTGCTGCCAACCTAAGATCTCGGCTGAGGAATGTTGTTCCCTCAGCCATCTTTTAGGAGGTTAAGAAAAAAGGAGGCTGTTGGGATTATCGGTTCCTCACTCACTGGCTGTTTAAACCCAAACTGGAGCCCTGTTCAATTACCTCACAAGGGTGGAGGGCATTTAAAGAGTCAAGCGCCAATTTCCAGCTTGGACTTTTGGCGCCTTTTCCCCCTCTCTCCACCTCCCCCGCCCCTTTCTTCAGCGCATCGCCGAACTAGCCCGCTCGAGGAGGAGAGCACAGCTGCGCATGCGCCCCAGCCCTCTCCCTTTGCCAGTCCCGCTGCCCAGAGCGGAACGGATGAGTCACGGCAGGAAAGGTCCATATCGCGCATGCTCAGAGGCTCCGACGAAGAGCGGAGCCCGCTACAGACATGCGCACTCGGATGCCAGGTTGAAGCTCCCGCCCCACCGTGGCGTTTACTCGAGAGCGCTGCGCCTCCCTTCGTTGACCAGGCCTCAGCCCCACCCCCTCGGCGGCGCAACACAGAAAGGGCCTCTGGGCAGGCGCAAAGTGCCTTCAAGCGAGCGCCCGTTGTTTACTTGTACAATTTGGGTTTGGGGCCCGGAATTTTAGGGCGCAGGATATTCTGGACCGTAACAGAAGAGGAAAACAGGATATTGTTAACCCGGGAATGTATGCATGTCTGCAACCCATTCCGTGCATTTCTCTCTTGCCTTAGGAAAATGGCGCTCCAGGTCAGGAATGAAGCATAATGCTTAAAATGCAAACATGCGATCCAACAAAATCTAATCCTTGTAAAAAAAAAAAACAAAACACCTGCCCGCTTTTTATCTTTTGGGGTGGCTCCGCAGAGTTTTGTTGGAATGGATGGCTACTGTGGTGGTCATTCTCTGACAGTGTGGTGTAGGGGGCAGAGTCGGACTAGGATCTGGAGGAGGAGGAGATTGGATTTATACCCCGCCCTTCACTACCCAAAGGTGTCTCAGCGCGGCTTACAAACGCCTTTCCCTTCCCCTCCCCACAACAGACAGACACCCTGCGAGGTCGGTGGGGCTGAGAGAGCTCTTGTCAGAAACTGCTCTTTTTTGCAAGAACAGCTCTTGTCAGAACTATGGCTCGCCCAAGGTCATCCAGCCAGGTGAAAGTGGAGGAGTGGGGAAACAAACCCGGTTCTCCCAGATTAGAGTCCACACACTTAAGCACTACACCAAACTGGCTCTCATCTGGGAGATCCAGATGCGAATTCCCACACTCCCATGGAAGCTCACTGGGTGACTCTGGGCCCCTCACGTTCGCTCAGCCCAACTAACCTCATGTTCACTGGGGAGAAAGGCAAGGTGTAAATGGAGTAAGTAAATAAATTCTTTTAGGGCCCAGCACAAGGAGCCATGTGTGACTGACTACCCCTTCTGCAGGAGCCACTGGGCTCAGCTGGCACCAGACTAGCAGAGGGCCACCAGCACTTATAAAAATGTATGTTCACATTTTTAACAAACAAAACAATATCCCTTATAATACAACTGAGCTATATGAGGTAATAGCACTTGTTGCAAACCGTGTCCAGTGTTCAAAGGGCTTCAGGAGCATTAGCTCCTTTATTTTTGTTGTTGTTCAGTTGCACAGTCCAGTCTTTGCAACCCCCTGGACCACATCATGCCAGGCCCTCCTGTCTTCCGTCGTGCTCCAGAGTTTGCTTAATTTCATGTTCGTTTTCTCAATAACACTGTCTAACCATCTCATCCTTTGCCGTCCCCTTCTTCTTTGACCTTCAGTCTTTCCCAGCATCAAGGTCTTCTCCAGTGAGTGCTCCCTTCTCATTGGGTGGCCAAAGTATATTTGAGCTTCAGCTTCAGTGTCTGGCCTTCCAGGGAACAGTCAGGGTTGATTTCTTTTAGGACTGACTGATTTGATCTCCTTGCAGTCCAAAGGACTCTCCAGAGTCTTCTCCAGCACCATAATTTGAAAGCATCTACTCTTCAGCACTCGGCCTTCCTTGTGGTCCAACTCTTGCAGCCATACATTACCACTGGGAATACCATTGCTTTGACCATACAGACTTTTGTTGACAAGGTGATGTCTCTACTTTTTATTATGCCGTCTAGGTTTGCCATCGCTTTCCTCCCAAGGAGCAGGCGTCTTTTAATTTCATGGCTGCAGTCACTGCCTGCTCCTTTATAGCAACCAGGATTTTGGCCTCCATCTTGCTGACAGAGCTTGTGGCAAAGGTAAGATCTCAACCATGGAAAGCTGAAGCTTTCTCTCTGGGCCGCTAGTAAATACCACCTCATCCTAGGAAAGCCTCTTTCTCTGTCTTCCAGCCCCAGATTCTCATCTGGAATAGAAGGATATTGGCCTACCTCACAGGGCTGTAAGGATTACAAGAAGATAAAGTGCATGAAACCTTTTGAAGGACTTCAAAATATGCTAGATATTGTTACTAACCTGAAGGGCCATGTTATTAGCTAGCAAGATTTCTCAAGGGAAGCTATGTCATCCTTTGCTGGACTTTTCAGTGGTTTTGAACATGTGCAAAGTGCTCTGCACTTTGCACATGTTCAAAACCACAGAAAAGTAGTTAAACGCTTGTAAGACAAATAGCAGAGTAATACAGTCTAGAGAGTCCACCACCTTTCTGGGAATAAGGCCAAGATGTTCTCTAAATCCCATGTCCTTAAGGACTTTGTAGTTTTATTTGTTTCCCCCTTCCCCCGCAAGGCCGAGGCTTTGTTTACACATAAAATACGCATGCGCGTTTGAGCTCCGCTCAGTCTTGCTAAATTCTGTAGCGCAGGCGCAAAGTTCCGGTACTGCGCGCTTCGAGACTACGAATCCCAATGACCTTTGCACAGGCCAGTTGCGGGAGAGATTTGAAGTCACGTGCTCGCTGACAACTGTCCATATTGGGAAGGCTTCTAAAAAATAAATATGCTTATTTTCATATATACCAAAGGGGGGAATGCACCGATTCCCCATAATCTCTCCCGTCAGTCTGTACACTTTACGATAAGGTCTCCATAATCCTAGCAGACACACAACGTTTCCCTCCCCAGGGGTTCTTTGAGGAGTCTAAATCAATGCCTGGAAAAAACAGTAACTGTCTTTTCGAAGCATATTTTTCCACGGCTTTCACCTTCTGGTTTATTACGAAAACTTTTTTATTAGTGGATCTGGGTAGGCAAATAGTGCCCATTTCTCCTGGTTTTTGTTATTTCAATGTCTGAAATACACTGCTGCAGGCGCTTGACACAGACTGTCCTGAAAAGACGAGGACCCTCACCCGCCCTTTGGGAAAAATGAGTGAGATTGGATTGGCTCCAGTCGCTCTAAACGAGTTCATTTATTGGCTACAATGGAAACAAGGAGGCGGGAGGAGAAGAGGGGAGGTGGCTTCCAGAGCTCTCCGTCGAAAAGACCGTGATTGGTTTCCGTTCCACGCGGGTGGCCACAACACTGAATCCCGATTGGCCTCTTCCGAGAGAAGGAGGCGCGTCTTCCTCGGAGCCCGCCCACCGCATATATAAGTCTCAGTCGAGGGGGAAGCGTGCCATCGCGGGAAGGCAGGAGGCGCGAAGTGTTGTTCCTCTGGTGGCAGCTGGGCTCGCGCATGCGCCGGGCGGGGAGGCGCCGTCGGCGGTTGTGGAGGCGCGGCTCTGCGCATGGGCGTCGGAACCTGACTGGAAAGGGAGCACGGCGGCTGCGCGCCGGGCCTGCGCAGAAGGAAGGAGGCTGACGGCGCACGCGTAGGAAGGGACCGGGAAGGGGCGGAGGGAGGCTCGGTGCGAGGCGAGCGGCGGAGGAGCCCCGGGGGCGCGCGAGGCATGCTGGAGATGGCCACCGACAAGGAGACCTTCCTCGTCCCGGCCCCGCCGCCGCCCCTCAAGCCCCCGCCCGGAGGAGGAGGCGGCGGCGGCGGGGAAGTCCCCCCGGGGCGGCTCCATCAGGGGGACGCGCCGCCGCCGTCGGAGGAGGAGGAGGTGGGGGGCAGCGGGGAGGTCGCCGGGCAGGTGCACCCGGGGGCCGGCCCGGAGGAGCGCAGGGGGGGCGGCGGCGCCCCGCCGGCGGAGGAGGCGGAGGACAGCGTGTCCGAGCTGCAGCGGCCCCGCAACGGCTTCCAGCCCCACCCGAAGCCCCCCGGCGGAGGAGGAGGGGGAGGCAAGCGGCGCAACAGCTGCAACGTGGGCGGCTTCAAGCACCCGGCCTTCAAGCGGCGGCGCCGGATCAACTCGGAGTGCGACCCGGTCCTCCCGTCCGAGTTCCTGCTGGGCGGCAACATCTTCGACCCGCTCAACCTCAACAGCCTCCTGGACGAGGAGGTGAACCAGGCCCTCAACGCCGAGACCCCCAAGTCGTCGCCCCTGCCGGCCAAGGGCCGCGACCCGGTGGAGATCCTCATCCCCAAGGACATCACCGACCCCTTGAGCCTCAACAACGCCCAGGAGGACCCTCCCGTCCTGGCCTCCCCCCTCAAGGCCGGGCGCAAGCGGCACCGCCACCGGGGGGCCCAGCGGGCCGCCAGCATCGCCGAGGCGGGCAAGGCCGCCCCCTCCTGCAAGTCGTGCCAGAAGGCCTGCAACGGGGCCACCCCGCAGCCTTACGAACTGAACACGGCCATCAACTGCCGGGACGAGGTGGTCTCCCCTTTGCTGCCGGGGGGTGGAGATGGGCAGCAGCGCGGCCAGCAGCCCTTTGACGGCATCACCCCCGCTTGTGCTTCCGTAGGCTCTTCCACAGGGGGTGGCAGCAGCGGCGGCAGCAGCCGCCACCATCACCACCACCACCACCGCAAGAGGCGTAGGACTAGTAGCAAGTCAGAGGGGGCCAGGCACCAGGAGGCGGCGAGCGAAGGGCCTTACCGGAGCAGCCCGGACGGGGGACGGAGCGCACCCAGGTGCCGGCACCAGCCACCCCCTTCCGCTCAGCAGCCTCGGCGGCAGTCCCAGCACAAGTTCCAGTATGGCAACTACTGCAAGTACTACGGCTACCGCAACCCCGACTGGGAAGACACCCGGCTGCGGGTCATGAGGCCGGAGTGGTTCCAGGGGAAAGAGGTGCTGGACGTGGGTTGCAACGTGGGGCACCTCACTTTGAGCGTGGCCAAGAAGTGGGGTCCCCGCAGGATGGTGGGCGTGGACATTGACGGGGCCCTCATCCACTCGGCGCGCCAGAACATTCGGCACTACCTTTCTGCGGAGCTGCAGCAGCAAACCAGCAGCAACAATGAGGGCACCGGCCTTCCCAAGAAGACCTTCCCGGTGTCCCTCATGGCCAGCCGTGGCCCCATTGCTGCGCCGAGGGTGCCCCAGGAAGGGGCCGATGCCACGGTCTTCCCCAACAACGTCATCTTTGTCAAGGTGAGGCCAAGGCAGGGCCATGTCTGCAGCCTGTTTGCCTTCTTCCGGGGGGGGGGATGTCAAGACTCACCGGGCTTGTTGCTGTGAATGCTGTGCTGTAGGCTGGAGTTACACCCAGGATCTCTCTCATGCTCGTCAAGGGGCCTGGCTCACAGCCAGTGTTCCCTCTAAGCTGAGTGAGTGTGAGTCAGCTCAGTTTTTTAGCCTCTGGCTCACACGTTCTTCAGGATGGAGGGCTCCAGAGCAAACAAATTTACATAGTAGCCAAATTGCTGGCTCACAGCTGTAATGCCGGTAGCTCACAGAGTCGAAATTTTTGCTCACAGGAACATTAGAGGGAACATTGCTCACAGCGTGTTTCCTCCCAGTTGTGGATTTGTACTGCCGAGGGTGGTGACGCCTCCTTTCCCATTCCTGCCTTTAGGCCCCGGGTTCTTGCTCAGGGGTGGCGACAGGGGCCTCCGCGTGTGGCATGAGGTGGAGGGGGGGCCTCGGCAGCTGCCTTCTCTCCATGCCCTTCTGGGGGGGGGCTTGGACCGGAGGCGTTAGCATCCTCCTGTGTCTTGCCAGGGTTACCTGCTGTTCAATGGCCCTCCAAGCCGGGGAGGGGTAGGAGATCCCTTCTGCTGGGCTGTGTTCCAGGCCAGGAGCACCTCAGAGACCCACAAGGCTTTCAGGGGATGTGTTCTTGAGAGTCAAAGGACTCCTGGGTCCCAGGAGGTCTTGCAGGGAGCAGAGGCCTTCTCTTGGAGGGGTGGCCCATGGTCAGAGGGCCGCCGTTCTCTGAATCTGGCTGTGAGGATGGAGGCACTCGTGCGGAGACGGCTGCCTCTGGGACAGTTTGAGACCAGGGCAGACAAGACCCCAGGAGGGCTGTGTGCTCTCCAGAAAGCGCCTTGGCTGGAACCTGGGGGAGCCTATCCTCTTCTCGCTTTCCAATGGCCCCCCTGCCCTACTGACCCAGGGATGCTGGGCCCCTCCTTGCTGCATGGGGGTGGGGCAGGAGCCAGGGAGGACTGAGGGACAAGCAGGGGTCTCTCCGGGTGGGGGGGAGTTCCGCCCTGCCCACCAGAACTGCTGAGGCTCAGCCCCCCACCCCTTGGGCAGCAGGGAGAGAGAAGGCGCACGGGAGCCTGGGGCTGGTCTGCCACTCTTTGGCCGTGGGGCAGGGAAGATAGAAGGTGGCAGAGGTGGGTGTTCCCGGAGGAGCCTTTGGGGCTGGCTTAAAGCCAGAAGGGCGGAGGAGGGGCCTGGCAGTGCAGCTGTGCGGGGGAGTCTGGTGCTGGCCAGGTGCGGCTCCAGCCGGCAGGAGCTCTCCCCCCCCCCACACACTTCACCTCCCCGGCCAGCAGCACAGACCAGGGCAGAGAATGCCTGGGAGCTCCACTCCGGCAGTAGAGGAGCCCAGGTTCAGTCTTTGCGGAGCAGCCTGATGGTACGGGGGGAGGGGCCTTTCTTTGCCCCTGGCAGCTCCTGGGAAGCCCCCCCCCAAGCCACCGTCTTGGCATGAGAGAGTGAGCTCAGGAAGAGCCCCCACCTGTCCTCCTCCTCCTCTGTGCATGGAAAGAGGGGAGCAAAATGAGCTTCCAGGCTTTGCAGAATACTTTGGATTCCTCAGCCCCAGACACACCTCTGCCGTGTGGGCAGCTGCTGCCAAGGAGCGTAATCTCACTCCCCCTCCCCCCAAGTCCCAGGGGAACGCAGCATTACGCCAGTACATTTCCTGGATCTGCCCCCTTCCCTGCCTGGGAAAGGTTGACTCCAGGGGCGCACTGCAAGGCTCACACCTACCGAGCAGGAGGGTGGGAAGGGGCAAGTTGGTGTTAAAGCTGGGGGGGGGAGTGTTCCTTTGTGCAGGCCCAGCCCCCCCCTCCCCTCTGGCCTTGAAGCCCCCCTGCGCACACTCCCCCCATTGTCTCCACGCCCCTTGGCCTTGGATGCTGGAATCTTCCCAGCTGTGGTGCTTCCCTCCTGGTCTGGGCTTTGGTACAGTCGCTGGGCAGCCTGTGGGTGGCAGCCAGCTGCACCGCCTTAGTTGGCGTGTCTGCTTCAGGATTGCTCCGGGCACGTTGGCAGCGCTGCCCCAAAGTCTGAGGAAGGAAGGAAGAGCTGGTGGGTGTTTGGAGGAGCCTTCCCACCCTCCCGGCCAACGCTGCTGGCCTCTCTCGGCAGGGCAACTACGTTCTGGAGCGTGAGGAGCTGCTGGAGGCCCAGAAGCCAGAGTACGACGTGATCCTCTGCCTCAGCCTCACCAAGTGGGTCCACCTCAACTGGGGGGACGAGGGGCTCAAGCGCCTCTTCAAGCGCCTCTTCCGCCACCTGCGGCCCGGCGGCATCCTGGTGCTCGAGCCCCAGGCCTGGGCTTCCTACGGCAAGAGGAAGAACCTGACGGTGAGTGGCGGGCTGGGCGAGGGGGGGGGGACGACGACACACCTGGGAGACCTGGGTCCCCTCCCTCTTCAGCTGCACAGCCTGGTGAGGAGGACCGATTTTGTGTGGCTGGTTCCGGGCCTGAGAAGAAGAGCGGCCTGGGAGGCAAAGCCGGCTGGTTCGGCCGGTCACGGCCGAGTGCTCTGCGCTCTGTGCAGCTGGTCCCAGAAGTGTGGTGGTGCAAAGCAGGAGGCCTTGACCTTGGCCCTCCCGAGGAAGGGCGTGGTTGCAGCCCCCCACCTGCCAGCCCCCTCCCCTCCCCATTGAGCAGGTCCAGTTGATGCCCCTGTTTGGGGGGGAGGGGTGGACGGAGGGCCGGCCAGACACTTCATCCCTCCCTCCCCCTCCCAGGAGACAACATGCCGGAACTTCCACCGCATCAAGCTGAAGCCGGACCAGTTCCCCTCGTACCTGACTTCACCTGAAGTGGGCTTCTCCAGCTACGAATTGGTGGCCACGCCGAGGCACAGCTCCAAAGGTGAGTGGGGCAGGACAGGTGTGCTGCCTTTGCGTGCAGACTGGGATGGGCTTGTGGGGGGCGGGGCGGAGTGATAAAAGTTGACACCCCCTCCCCCAATAATTTTGAGCGAGGTCATGTCTAAAATGCCATCAAGTTGCAGGCCGACGTTCAGAGGTGGTTTGCCGTTGCCTCTGTTCTAACCCCAGCCGATTTCCGCTTAGCTTCCAAGATGTAACTCAACCGGGTTAGGCTGGGCCAACCAGGTTGAGTGTTTAGTAAACTGTGGGTGACTTGGGGTTGGATGAAAGGGGGCTGGATGAGAAGCAGCCCTTCAGCACAAGCAAGAGGCACCCCCTGCACCCAGAGAGCGGGAAAGAGGGGGCCACCAGTCCAAACCCACCCTGCCTGGGCTATTCTGAGGAACCCTTTGGATGTCCTTGTGCTCAGAAGCGGTGACCAGTGTTTCCCTCTAAGCTAAGTTTGTGTGAGCCAGCTCACAATTTTTTAGCCTCCGGCTCATACATTTTTGTCTTGGCTCAGAAAGGATGGCTCCAGAGCACATTAATTTATGCAGCAGCCAAAATGGCTCACTCACTACTTTAATGCCACTAGCTCACAAAGTAGCATTTTTGCTCACAAGGATTCCCAGCTTAGAGGGGACCGTTGGGGGTGACCTTTTTTATTCTGCTCCTGCAACCTGCTTTTGTACCCCTGCAGGACTGAGATGCTGCCTTCCCCCTAATATGGCAGCACACTCTTACGGGGAGCTCAGATCGGACGGGGGGGGGACGGGGGACGAAACACGCTTTGCTCCCAAGATGCAAAGCTCCGGATGGTCCCACGGTGCTCTGTGCTGATCAGAGCCCTCGGACGGCATTCTGAGGCGGTCAGTCCGCTGGCCCGTGCACACCTGGGGGGGAACCGGGTTCCTTTGGCAGCCCCCAGCTGTGCTCCGGGGCTGGACTGGGGTGTCTTTCTGACTGCCTGCTTGTCTGGGCTCTCTCTCCCCCTAGGATTCCAGCGCCCCATCTATCTCTTCCACAAGGCTCCCCTGAGAACACCCTGAGGATTTTTTGCCCGGGCTTGAGAGCCAGTCCGTGGCTGGACTCCCGCTCACCTTTCCGAGCCGCCGGGGGCATTTGCTGGAGGCACTTGGACAGGAAAGGACAGAGGAACCAGGTTCACCGCCCCTGAAGCCATGGAGTCAGTCGGAGCCGCTTGACCTGCAGGACTCCCGTCCTCTTTGCCTGCGACAAGCAGAGCGTGAAGAACAGAGCAAGCAAGAGGCTGCCTGGAGCTGCTACCGAGATCCTGCTGTGCGTGGGGAGGAAAGAGGGAAGTGGGCAGGTGATGTGCGGGGGTGGGGGGATAATGGGGGACTGGCTGGCTTCCTCCCTCCCTCTCTCCCGGCCATTACCCTGAGCTCACAACCCAGAAGAAGAAATCACACACAAGCCATTGTGCTCCCTCAGCCTGCTTAGGAGCAAGAGGGCCCCCCGAAGGAGCTGTGGAATTCCCTGCTGTGGAGTGGGGCAGTGGGGGGGGGGCGGGCACTTTCCCTGGGTAGGGCAGACACCTTCACCTGGAGCACTGAAGCCTTTCCCCCCTACTTCCTGAGCAGGGCAACTCTGCCCCGTGAGCTTCCTCTGGGCTGGGCCCGTGCCCCGGCTGCCCCCACCCCCCTTCTGAATCGAAGAGCTCCGCAGCCAGCCAGGCCATCCGCCCCCCATCCCCCTGCAGGAGCCGCCTGCTGTGCCCCCTCTCCCCTCGCAGCTGGGGGGACCTAGTTTCATCCAGGACTTTGATCTTTACACAGATGTTGATTCTATATATAAATAAAGCCTACCAATTACCAAGGGTTCGTCCGGTTTGTGTCCCTGGGAGGTGGCGGGTGGGCAGTTGGCTGGCTGCCACCTCCAGTGCTGGGGGATGTGACGCTGCTGCTGAATCAAGCCTTCTGGTCGGTCTTGTCTGCTTGTACCTGCTCTCCTGGGTCATCCCCTACTGACTGGTCCTTTTTAACCGGAGGTGCCGGAGCCTGAACCTGGAACCTTCTGCCTGCCAAGCGGAGGTTCTATTCTATTCCTGAGCCACGGCCCCTCCCCAAAGAAGAGACCGAATTTATACCCCTTCACTCGGAATCTTAGAGCGGCTGACAACTCCTTTTCCCTCCCCCTCCCCAGAACAGACACCCCGTGAGGCAGGTGGGGCTGAGAGAGCTCAGACAGAACTGTCCTTGAGAACAACTCTGAAAGAACTATGGCTTGCCCAAGGTCATCCAACAGCTGCAAGTGGAGGAGGAGGAGTGGGGAATCAAACCCGGCAGTCCGCACACTTAGCTGCTACACCAAACTCCAGAATACACAGGAGCATGCCTCTTATCCGGAGCCGGTCCATTATGGTCAGTCTCATCCACTCAGACTGGCACTGGGTCTCAGGCAGAGAGGTCTTTCCCGTCACTTCCTGCCTGGTCCTCTTCAACGGGAGATGCTGGGGACTGAACCTGGGCCAAGCACAGGCCTTGCCCCTGAGCCAGAGCCCCCTTCCTTTCAGAAGCGCCACCCACGTTGCCCTCAGATTCCAGGCTCCGCTCCCCACAGCCCTATCAGAAAGAGGCACGCACTCCCAACAGATTGCTTGCAATTGTGTTTATGTATAAAAAAGTCTGTGTGTGTGGAGAGCATGATGGGAGTCCTCTGTGAACAAACAGTCCTATTGCTGCGCTAGGTGCCAGGCAGTCTCTGGGTCCCCTGGACAGTGAAAGCAGCAGGCCCTGCTCCTGCCTCTCCCCTCAGCTGTTCCACTGGCGCAGCTTCCGGTACATCAGAAAGGTGGCGGCTGGATCTCGGGCGCGCGGCTTCTGCTCCAAGGGGGGCAGCCCCTCCACCTCCAGGAAAGCGGTCTCTGTGAACAGCTCTTCTGGGTCGTAGAAGGCCATCAGGTCTGGGCCCTCAGAGGCCAGCTCCTAGCATGCAAGGGCAGAGGGAGTGCAGTACTTTAGGCAGGACATTTTTGTGGCTGTATATGTGCGGGGGGGGGGCTCAATCAAATGAATCCCACTGTTCTTGCAGCAGGAAGCATGTCCTCTGGAGCCTTGTAGAGGGAAAGGAGGCTGGATTGCTTTCACCTGCTCCCAAAGACACAGACTGAGGAGAGGAGAAGCTGGCCAGTCAGGGAGGAGCTCTCCCCTGCTCACCTTTTGGCCTTCCGGCCGGGGCCCAACAAGCACCAGCTTCTCCTTCATCGCGGAGCTCAGCAATTCCTCTTTGGGCACCTGCAGGCTGACCAGTCCTTGGTAGAGCTGCTGTTCCCGAGGGATGTTCATGCCTGTGGGGTAAGAGTAAGCCAGGGCAGGAGCTGTATCCCTCGAGAGCCGGGCCCCCCAACACAGTGCCCACCAAGGGTTTTGTGAAAGTGGCCGGGGCTAGACAGAGCTTTGGCTGGCTGTGCAGATTTGTAAAAAAAAAAGTTCCTTTGGGACCAGCTGACGCCAGAACACAAATCTTTATGGCATGACTGAATGTAAGTGATGTGTATGCAAGAAAGTATTTTTTAAAACAGTGATGTTAAGAACATAAGAGAAGCCAATGGCACATCCAGTCCAACACTCTGTCACACAGTGGCCAGAAATACCAGGTGCCATCAGGAGGCCCAGGACACCAGAAGCCCTCCCACTGTTGCCCCCCCCCCAGCACCAAGAATACAGAGCATCCCTTGCCCCAGCCTGTGAGTTCCTATCTATACCTTGTGGCTCATAGCCACTGATGGACCTCTGCTCCAGGTGCTTATCCAGTTCCCTCTTGAAGCCGTTCCCTGCTTGTAACGTATGGCACTGAATTCCATGTGTTGATCACTCTTTGGATAAAGGAGGACTTTTATCCATTCTAACCCGACCTCAGCAATTTCATGGAGTGCCCACAAGGAGTTCTTGTCTTGTGAGAAAAGTACCTCTTTCTCGACCTGCTCTATCCCATGCATAATCTTGTAAACCTTGATCATGTCACCCCTCAGCCATCGTTTCTCCAAGCCAAAGAGCCCCAAGCGCTTTAACCTTTCTTCATAGGGAAAGTGTTCCAACCCTTTGATCATTCTAGTTGCCCTTTTCTGCACTTTTCCCCATGCTATAATATCCTTTTTGAGGTGTGGTGACCAGAACTGTACAGTGTTCCAAATGAGGACATACCATCGATTTATACAGGGGCATTATGTTCATTTTAAACAGCAAACAGAGCCTCTGCCTGAAGTTCTGAAGAGTTTCTGTTTGAGTGTTGGTTTGAAGCAACAGAACAAAGTCTGAGTCCAGCGGCACTTCTGGGTATAAGTTCTTGTGTGCATGCACATGAAAGCTTATGCCCAGAATAAATCGTCGTTGCTCTTAAGAGGTGCCGCTGGACTCAGTAATGTTCTGAGTAATGCATAGCCTCGCTCCTTGACTTCTAGTTCCGCCCATCGCCCTGTGTCAGAATTCCAAAGGTGCCCACAGGCTGAAAAGGTTAGGGGGCCCTGCTCTAAAGGAACCGGGCAGGCAGAAGGAGCGGCACTGTTTTGCCAGCCACTGGCACAAAATCAGATTATATCAGAACTCGGCTGCAAAACCAGAGGACAATCCCAGTGCCATGATGAGGGTGGGAGATGCTCTCATCTGCACTGTTCAGGGACAAAGGGTTGCCTTTAGTTTCCACCTGAGTTTTCCTCGGCAGGAGATGGCAGCAAGAATCCCAACATTCGCCACTCCCACCTGGCTTCTGTGTCCACCTCCCTCACAGGGTGGGGCAGTGGAAGAAGAAACAGCTGCAAAGAGTGATGCGGCAAAGGGAGGACCGAGGAACAGTCATCTCCTTGACTGCTGCTCTCTCACCACTAAGAAGCCGTGTTTGTTGGGTCTCTGTTTAAAAAAAAATATGACAGCAGCAATTTTGTGCTGTGGTGGTTCCCGATGCACCATCTGCATGACCCATGTTCTAGATCAGGGGTGTCAAACATGCAGCCAGGCCCACAGATGGCTACAGTCCGGCCCACGAGGCCCTGCCTGTTTCCTGCTTCTTTTTCTAGTTCTGCGGCTGCCGCGGCTACATCACAGCTTACTCTACAAGACTCTCTCAGTCACACAGGAGAGGTAGATAGGCAAGCCTCTCCTGTGCGACTGAGTGTGGTAAAACACTGGCTGAGGCTTCTCCCCCTCCTCCACCAGAGCTGGCTTCCTTGCCAGGCTGCCCCAATCCTATACAGGAGACACGTTTTATTTAAAGTTTTAAAAAAATCTTTAATTGTGTTTGTCTGTGTCCTTTATAAAGTTTATATCTCCGCTTCCTGGTATTGCCTTTTATGGCACGGCCCAACAAGGTCTCATTTATATCAGATCCGGCCCTCATAACACCCCTGTTCTAGATCATTATTTTTTTTTCTTCCTTGTCGTTTGTCTGTCTTGGGGAGGGAGCTGCAACCCCCTTCCAAAATCCTTTTTGAGCCTAACTGTTCTGGAAGTTGCCTTCTAGCGAGACTGGATCAGCCATCCACCCATTTCATTTCACTTCAGGATAACCTGCCTTTCTCTCTAACAGGGATCCAAAGAGTTTACCCACAGTGTGGGACTGGCTTGAGGTCTCACTGCCAGCCTCCATGGCACAGTGGCGGTCCAAACAAGGAACCAAAAAGATTGGGGGGACTTAACCCTGAAACCTGGGATCCAGAACCTAGAAAGGGAAGTCAAACAGAATAGAGGGCCAACAGTAAAAACTTAACTATATAGTATACAGGCCAAAATGTGTCAGGCCAAGTCCATTGTCCCTTGCGTGCTAAATTTTGGCATTTTCACATGAGGTGTGATTGGGCCCTTATATGCTTTTTAATTCTTTGTTAATAAATACATGTATCTTTTCATACTATATAATGAAGTTTTTATTGTTGGCCCTCTATTCTGTTTGGCTCACCTTTTTAGACAATGGCGGTTAAACCTCGGTTTCCCAGACCCTACTTTGATCACTGCATGGCACTGGCTCAGGTATTGCCTGCTCTGGCTGGCAGCCACTTTCCAGAGTCTCAGCCTGGGAAAGGATGTTGCCCAGCACAAGGGGGGGGGGGACCTTTAAGTGGCGATGAGGAGGGTGGGGTTGGCTTTGCAGGCAGAAGGCCCTGCCCTGTGAGCCACTGCCCGTCCCTCCAACGTACTTTCTCCTACTCGAGCTTCTACTGCGCAGCGGGTGGGAAAGGAATGCTGGAGGAGTTCCCTGGCTGCCCGCCGGGCATCGAAGTCCTGCTCCCGGGCGGCCTGCACCTCCGCCCCCAAGGCGATGCTGCTGTGGAGAATGGGGGTGCTCAGCCCAGAGGGTTGGTTGAGGTGCCCATCTTCTGCCAAGCTGCCACAGGGCTCCCTCGTCAGCAGGCTGGGGGCAAGGGAGCTGGTGGAAGCACCCTGGGTCTCCTCCACTCGCCCCAGCAGGTCCAGGTGGCCGCCTCCAACCTCATGAGAACCAGAGTCCAGCCGGAAACGCACCTAGGAGGGAACAGAGAAGTGGAGAAGATTTCATGACCGGCCAGGGGTGTGGGAGAAAACAGTTCCATTCCTAAAAGAGCTGCTTTTGGGTTGCAGTCCTGGCTTGAATATTGCAGTGGGGCCCTCTGCACATGCTCAGAGAGGCACTATAATTTCCATATTTGAGGACAGTCCTAGCTCAGGGCATTAGTAGGAGGAGTGTGCTGCCACCCACGTCCCCGTGCCCTCCTCCCCTGCCGGCTCCCCCCAGTCCGGTGTTGTCGTTTTGAAGGCACCCCGTCCCCCCTTGCACTCACTTGCCGCCGGCGGATATTGCCCGGGCCACGGCGCCGAAGGATTCCCCCGCCGCCGCCCTCCCGGTCCGGGGTGAGCACCACGGCGGGGTCAGGGATCAGGGGCTGGACCGGAGGGGCCGGAAGGGGGGCGGGCGCAGCACACGGCAGGCTGTCCTCGTCGCCGCCCCCGGGGCCAGCCATCTCCCCCCCCCCAGGTCCGTCCGGCGCCACCTGCAAGAGAAAAGGGGGGG